TTATTTATTCATTCACACATTTCGCATAGTGATAAATATGTCAAACAATCAGGGTCAGTTTATTCACACTATCGGGGAATATGAGAAGTGGTGGTAATGGAAATTAATTAAAAGTGGCATAAAGTTGCGCCTTTCCATGTGTGAGGGTAAATGAGGGGGGCTCCAATGAAAGTAGCTTCAGTCGATAACAGATTATGAGGGCTATAATTATATACTAATCGGGAAAGTATTAGGAATTTACAAAAAAAAAAAAAAAAAATAAAAATAAAAAATAAATAAATAAAAAAAAAATAAAAAAAAAATAAAAAACTTTAAGAGAGGGGGGCACGTATTAAAATTTCATAGTGTGTTTATGGATTCAATAGCCAAATCTAGAAATGTCCAGCTTTTTTATTTCTCTCTAATCTAATTTCTATTCTAATTTTTGATGCTTACAAACTTAAAACGTATAAAAAATTTATATTATTTGGAGAGATGATATTTACATTGGGCGCCATTCAGAGGTTAGTTCTGTAAAAAAACCTAACCAAAGTTCAATAAAAAATTATTAGGGTATCACTTTTGATTAAGCTTCTTCTTCTGTCGAAATTACAAAGAAAGTCGAATTCTGAGCAGCCACCACATAATACAACACATTTACAAGTCGAATCAGATTTATAGATGTAACATTTTTCGTCAGACATTACATTGGGCGCCATTCGCGAGTTAGTTCTCTAAAAACTTAAATCTTGGGATTATAAAGTTCTTTACTATTTTGTGTAGCTTAAAAAAATAGAAGTCTGAACTAGTTTTCAGATTGGACAATGCTATCTATGACACTTTTAGTCTTGTAACTCTCTTTTTATACCCTCCACCTTGAAAAGCTTGTCATTGTCATTCTGTTTGTAACATCCCTATATATTTGTCGACGAAACCATTAAGTATATACAGGATGAGATGAGAAAACTTCAACCAATTTCAGACTGCTGTCATTTCTAAGCCACTATACAAATTATTCCAGCGACAGCTCATTATATTGTCTACAAGCGTACAAAAGCATTTTGTAGAGAATTTTCCAGAAAAAAAGTTATTCGTGATGGAATTCAAGCGTGATAGTGTGATTTCTTTATATTTGGCTGGAAAACAACAAGTGGCTATCGTTAGATCACTCCAGCATTTAAATGTGAATAAATCTTTTGTGTCTCGTACCATCGCCCGTTACCGTGATACTGGTAGCGTAGCCCGACGTCAAGGAAGTGGACGGAAGAAAACAGCAACATCAACAGAAATGGTTCGAAAAGTAAAGAAGTGACTTGACCGAAACCCGCGTCGCAGTGGGCGTAAAATGGCTCGTGAACTGAACATATCGCAATATTCCATTCGGCCATTGAAATTCCGAAAAGTGCAAGAACTTACACTGCAACAAAAAGAAAATAGACTCAAAAGAGCTAAAGAGTTGCCTCGCTTGGCCGAAAGTGGTAAATTGTCGAATCTGCTTTTCTCCGATGGGAAAACATTCGTTTTTCAGCAGTTTGTAAATGAACAAAATGATCGTGTTTACTTGCCAAAGAGGTCAGCTGAAAATGTGCACCTTCGGTTGGCCACCAGAACTCAAGCACCGGCCATGATGATGGTGTGGGCCGCCATAACAACCTATGGTCGCTCTCCGCTCGTATTAATCCACCGTGTCATTAGAATAAATGCCGAATATTATAGCGAAAATATTCTGGAGGGTGTATTAAAGCCTTCGACATTCAAACATTTTTGTCGCAGACCTTGGACATTCCAACACCATCGCACTCAGCACGCGCCACCCAAGAATGGTTACAAAATGATGTTCCTCGCTTCATTTCCAGCGCACAATGGCCCCCAAAATCTCCGGATACCATCCCGTTGGACTATTGTGTCTGGAGTATTTTGAAAAAAAAAAAGGTTGGCACTAAAGAATACCAAAGTGTCGATCACCTCAAGCAAGCCAGTGAAGTGCAATGGGCCAAAATACCGCAGAGAAACATTCGGGAAGCGTGTGTCGGTTTCATTGGCTGTTTGAAGCCCATAATTCGTGTCAAAGGTGACCAATTCGAACAAATCTAAATTTATTCCAAAATTTGATGCTATTTCCGACATTTTTATCTTTCATTCAATAAAATTAAAAATTATGGCGTATGACTTCGTTGAAGTTTTTTTTTCATCCTGTATTTATTTTTGTCCGTGTGGAGTATCTGCTAATTCCTTCCTCAATAAATAACTAAGGGTTTTATAAAATTAACCTCACATTTGTTCTGAGTCACTTAGCGAAATTAAGCTGTGCTTTTAAGAGTCACGTAGATTGAGGGCTGGGGTATAAGGTTTATTATTTTTTTATTTAAATTTCCTTTAGTGGCCAACATAATACGGATTCACATTGGGCGCCAATTTATATAAGCTGTACTTTTTAGAGGCATAGAGAGTGCGGGTTGGAGTATAAGTTTTATTATTTATTTATTTATTTACTTATTTATTGGCTAACAAAAGTCCGGTTCACCTTCGGCGCCAATTGATATAATCGCTTTTTACATAAATCATTAACTAAGTGTTCATTTTTAATTCGTCCTCTGCTGGTAGAACACAAAAAAGTAGACTTTTCAGAGATTCAAAAGTCGAAAATTAGGTCAGACGACCTAACAGCCATTTAAATTGTTTATTTATATTTAACTTAAATTTCACGTGCAAAGTAACTGAAAATTCCCAGCTCAATAAATGGCGTAGATTTCATTTATTTGATTTCACATTGGGCGCCATTTCTTTGAACGTTGTGACTTGAAAAGACTACAAAGAATTTGTGAAGGTTCATTTTTTGGGATATGAATAGAACAGGTTTATATCTTGTGCTTTTTTGTTGTTAAATTTGCCAGATGTAACAAAATAATATTTGGAATTCACATTGGGCGCCAATTTAATTAAATAGTTCCTGTTTTGTATTCAATATTAAGAAATACATGCCCAGTTATGTTTGTATAGAAAAGAAAAAAGGTGTTATGAACATTGGCGCCCAACGTAAATCTCAATTTTATTACATATTTTATTATTATTATTTGATTTCAAATTGGGCGCCATATCTCTGAAAGTTATAATATTAAGAGATTACAACGAATTTCTGAAGCTTTACTTTTTAGATATATGGCGCCCAACGTAAATCTAAATTTTATTACTCACTTCTGGTAAAAAAATAGAATAATACTTATCATTAACTGAAAGGAAATGCTTCATTTTAACATTTCACTTGGATAGCTTTAATTTTTAACCATTGGGAACTTCTCTACTTACTAAAAACCACCGAAACTGTTAGCTTAGTCTGATACTTTAATTCCATTACAGTTTCAAAAAACATTTATCTGAAGATTTGGTTTTGTTTAAATTCCTCTGCTGTTGCTGTGCTGAGAAATTGGTTAATTAAAAAATAAATATACTCCTGTCGTTCTCTCCAAACCACAGACGACAGCTAAATAATTGGAATTCTTTCGCAAGGAATTTATGTTCCAAACATAACACAAATTCAGAATTCATAATTTGCAACGGAGAAGTAAAAAAAAGTCCCATAGCTCAGGGCAAAAATGCCTCCGGCCAAAAGTGGTATTGTACACTTCTGCAAAAAATAATATCCTTACAATGGCAGTTCAGTTTATTCTACTGGCGATGCTTCAGATTATACCAGCCATTTGTCTAACTTTAATATGACTAAATATTGGAATATAATTTCGTTTTGGAATCTGTCCAGAGTTCTTTTTTTTTTGTTTAGTTTTGCGACTGCCACCATTACCGCTTCACTGCACATCTGAGTTTGAGATGAGAGTTTTGTGTTTTTTGAGCCATTGAAAATGCCCAGCTTAAGAAAAGTAAACCACGAAAAAAGGAAGAAACATCTGCTGCTTGCTGGATGGATAGCTGGCTGGCTGGCTGACTGTCTGTCAGACTGTTGTGTTCTTCTCCTTCTTGAAGAGAGCGAACGGCCAACAATGCCACTTGCTGCTGCTGCATGCATCACAACCGACCAACCAACACCACCACCACCATCTTCCACAGTTCAACTTATTTCAATACTCTCCGTATTGAAACTCTGAATTGAAATTGGAATGTTGTGCGGAGGTTTTTTGTGCGCTCATTCCTCATTTGTTTTGTAGTCGTTCAACACATCAAACGTACCTTTTTTTCTGGCGTGTTGTGTGGATTTGTTTCTTCTTCGTCTTTATTCTATGAGACCCAAAAATAACAATAACAACAATACCAATTTTACGAGTTCGTAACGCGGCGGTGCGGCCTGTGTGTGCAGCAGTAACATTTGGAATAAGAAAAATACAATTTTGGTTGGTATGTCTGTCCCGGTGATGTCTAGTTGAAGTGCTGGTGTTTGTGTGTGTCTGTCGGTTTGTCAGTCAGTCAGTCCGTCTGTCTGTTTTTATTTTCAATTTTTTGTTGTTGTCGAAAATGCCGCATGTTGATCTTGTAGATTGTTGCACTCACTCTCCATCTTATTCTATGTCTCTCTTTTCCCTCTCCATCTCTCTCTTTGTTTTGGGAGCCGAAATGAGCCTCTCATGCATGCGGTTTTTTTGTTTTTGTAATTTTTTTGTATAGATTTTTGACAGGTGGTGTTTATTTCAGTCCATATGACCAACAAACCGTCTTCTTGAAAATAATGATGAGTCTGAACATGAGGGAGAGAGAGGGACGAGTAGGGGAATGTTTGAAGTGCCACTCTTTGGAAGAGTAGTTCTTTTTGTGTTTTTTTTTTTTTTTTCGGGCGGCAGATTTGTTTTCTAACAATCCAAAGATGCTTCTTCTTTGTGTTTTTTTCGATCTTTATACAACATCAAGATGACGTTGAAATCCTCTGAACATCCTGCATCCATCCACAATGTTAATGAACTTTAAGGGGTCTTTTTGGAAACCACATTGTGCGCCATTTGTTCTTTAAATTTCTCATTTTTTTTTGAAATATTTCTAAAATTTAATTCCTTTTTTTTCTCTCCTTCTATTTTCAGTGATGAAACACAGAACCCAGCAAACATGTTGATTGCAAAACAACGAAATTATCAAAACTTTTTCAAATAATAAACGACTGAGTATTTAAAAAAAAACAAAGAAGACACATTCTCCGGAGAGAGAGAAGCGCAGAGAGTAAGCCAAACGAGAGAAGGGGGAGAGTAAGAAAATTATGTCTAAACATCAAACAACAACAACGCTTACGGCTGCGGCAAAGGCTTTGGCAAATGAGCAGAATCTACTGCAACGTTGCGAAAGGGTCGTCCAGTCCAGTGAAAATCCCCAGAGCCCAACAGCAACAACAACTTCATCATCAGCATCGTCACACAGCCACACAACCCAACACAGAAGGCATAGCTCTCTAAGTGGGAGAGTTTGTGGCAAATCATCATCACTGGCAAAGTCTGCTTCCATAACTGATTTAGCAAATAAATTAGAAGAATATGAAAATATTACACTGCCCGATAGAATTAGCACAGAACGAACGGCGCGGACAGCGGCGGCGACGACGACGACGTCCACAACAACAATATCAACAGCAACGACGGCGGGGACAACATGTAATCGAACCACAAGTGCTACACCAAAAAGAGACTCGTCATCTATCGATGAGGTCGATAGTGATGAAACACGAAGGCGAAGATTGGCCTCTTCGTCAGCAGCGGCGGCTGCCACTACCAAAGATTGTTTAGAGTCCTACGATGAACCCGATCATCTACAGCATCGTTTTAGTCGAACAGCAGGGTTATTCAATGCGCGGCATAATTTCTCCTCCGTTGCGGATAATGGTTTCAGTGATTTGGGTGGCGGCTGCACCAGCGGGATGAGCAGTGTGTTTAGTTCGCCCTCAGCCAGTACAGTATCATCGCCCCTATCAACGCCAACAAGACTTTCGCCACAGCATTTGCCACGACATCAACATCAACAGCAGCAGCAGCAGCAGTCATCATGTTGCCAAAAATCATCATCAACGCCAGCATCTCTAAAAAATTCCTGCTCCTCCTCCATTTCATCCAACAATAAAACTCTTCATCTGCACGATCATCACAACCCCCACCATCAGCAGCAGCATCAGCATCATCACCACCACCATCATCATCACATAACAGCGTCTTCTTGTTCATCGAACGGAAGTAAAAACCTAAAGAAATTTGATCCGCGTCTGGGACCATCACCTTATCGTCAACTATTGCCAATAGCTTTGTGTATTCTCTCGTTTGCGACTGTATTCAGCATTTTAATTGTTTACATGGATACGACAGGTGAGTCTGCACTCAATATTTTCGCTATTTTTTTCGATTTTTGTTAATGATATTTAAATAGAAATTAGAGAGGATACATTTCTAATTTCCGTTGCCATCTTGTGATCCCTTGCGGAATTTTAATGGAAGGGAGGGGATATATTTTTTTGCTATTTTTTGGTGTTGATGATTTTTTTGGCTTCTTAAAAACGGAAGTTTGTTTAATTCATGGAAGTAAGGTGATGGAAATGAGAGCGGGCTACGTCTGGGATATGTATTTTTTGGATAGCTAGTTTAATTTCTTTGAAAAGTCCTAGAAATTCACGTTGGGCGCCATTTTTGCAAGAAAAAAAAAAAAATCGCGGGACAGTCTAACTAAGATTATCTTGAGATTCTCGAACTTATGTCATGGCCATGCATTGAGATTGACGTTGGGCGCCAGTAGGTCAGTGTTTAATCCATGGAAGTAAGGTGAATGAAATGGGAGCGGACATCGTCTTGTATATGCATTGTTTGGATAGCTACTTTAGTTTCTTTGGGCGACATTTTCCCATTTGGTCCTATTTGGCGGGACAGCCTAACATTATCTTAGGATTCTGGAACTGATTTTATGACTATGCATTGATAGGTCAATTTCTTTTACGTGCCGATACTATCCAGAGAATTCCCACCCCGCGTTGGGCGCCACTCTTTATAAGGCCCTCCAAAGAATCATTCTCAGCTAACTCATATAGAGGGCGCCATTTAAACTTCATTGGTACAAAACCCCAAATCCTGCGAATGTAGACCTCCACCTCTCTTTGTAAGGACTGAATTTTAATTGGTTGATTTGACGTCCAAAAAACATTACTCACCCCTATATATTTTTATATATTTCAGATGTAAGTCTCAAATAGGGCGCCATTGAAACTTCACTAGGTACCAAGCCCCAATTCATGAAAATATATATTTTTCATGTAATAGGAAATTTTTAAGTTTTCGAAGAAATCCTTTAATCATCTGGATCCAATGTAAGGTGCTTGGTTTAGATTTAGGCGGCATTTTTGTTTGGCGAATACTCCATCATAAAAGATCGGTTTTTCTCATCTGAAGAATGAACAGTCATCATTGTTATCTCTAAAGCCAAAAAATTAAATTATTTTTTTTTTGGAAAATGACCGGTATTAAGTCATAATCAAGGCTAGGTTTTTTTTTTTTAAATATGGGATTTTACAGTTTACGTTGGGCGCCATATCTAGGAATTTTCTAATTATTGACAACATTCTTTCTTAAGTTAGACATACACAAAAAATCCATAAATCGGGCGTCAGTTTTCCTAATTTAGCTTCTTTTGTTTTTCTAGTCCCACGTTGGGCGCCATTCATTGCAGTAGTTGTTTTTTAAATATAACCATACATAAAAATTAAGTGTGGGGCAGCATTTTTCTCATTCGAAATTTGAAACGCTTTTCAGGGTCGTAACCAGGGGTCCTTGTATCCGGGTCCCCCGCGAAGTGGATACTTTTCAACAACATTCAACATTCGTTCTGAAATTAGACACACGACAAAATACATAAATCCGACGCCAGTTTTCCATAATTTCGCTTGTTCTGAGAATCTAGTCTCTAGTCTAGTTATTTTTTCAAATTTAGCAATATACATAAATTAGGTGTTAGGCAGCATTGTTCTGATTCAAAATGAGAATTCCATACGAACGCTGGTTGGAGTTCCGGGTCTAATTAGAAATGGATATATTTCTGACATGTTTTGAAACTCTCTGATTGGTTTCCAGTGAACCTCTCTGGCCCTTTATTATAGAGTGTTATGAGCAATATTTTTTTTTCGATTGTGTAAATTTCGGTCATGAATACTTGGTCTAATAAGTGAGAATATATAGACCCGCGTCGGGCATCATTCTGCATACGCACTGGCAATTTTGCAAAATAGTCATAATGTTGAATTTTTAGAGTCATATATAAAGGCAAGCAAGGATTTTAAGCTGATGAATTTATACTAGATATCAAAGACCACGTTCAGATAAGGAAAACGCTTTAGAAATTATTTCGTTAGACACCTCGAAAATATATCGAAATATGCCTGTCTTTCCTTCTCATACATTATAAGCTAACACAGCTCGCTTGCCTTTTTGCCCTCCGCATGTTGGCCGCCATTTTGTGGTTTAATTGACGGCGTTTCCATCAGTTATATACCCACTAAGGGTCCTTTTTTCTTGTACTTACACACAATTAAGAGGTTTCTATTCTAATGGTACGAATTCTTAAAAAAAATATACGTTGGTGGTCTTGTCAGTAGTCATACATCGGGTTTTGTGCCCATTGTTCAATTCATGCTTTGCATTTGTCGTAGACCCTTCAAGGGGTCTAAAAGTTTTCTAATCTAATGAATACCATACCATAAACATGTTTGTGATCTTTTTGATACACACAAGCGTTGGGCGCCAATTTTAATATAATAAATCATAAGGATCACTTGTACTGAGTTTTTTTAGCTACCTTCTATACTTGTACTACCGTGCCATTTAAGATCGCATAGGTTGCATTGAAAAATTAGAAAATTCGGACTGATCCGCTACACAGAATTATTTTTCTTGCTCCTCTCCGTGCAGGTACATCCTTATTGCCTCTGGGATCCAGGGCTCCCATGTTGGGCGCCATTTTCTGTTTCAGTTAGCACTTTGATTTTCATAGACCCTTTTACGTAGATCTTCCCTGCACGCTACGAGCTGTGCCGGTTTCTGGAACTCTTAGTTATAACAGTGAAAAAATTACAGAAGAAACTTAGCTACAAAAAAAAAAAAAGATAAATAAATAAATAAAAAATAAATAAATAAATAATAAATAAATACAGTTACAAAAATCAATAGCTAGGGTGTATAAGCATTGTATTGGAAATGGGTACTTGATGCAACAACTTTTATCCAAACGTTTAAAATATTCTTTGTGATTTGTGAATTTATTGAAACATTAGAACTAAACTAACTGAAATAATTCTCATTACCTTAAGAAAAAAAACCTCAAAACATAATTAAATAAAGAGATTTCACCCCTTCCCATCTTCCCATAAAAATCTATTAAATATAAATTAAATACGAAATTGAAATACAACATCCGACAAACATTTATGTCATTCGCACGTTGCAAATTACAAACGCTCTTGACGCTGATGCGTGCGTACAAAGGTTGTGATTGTGATTCGTGCGTCTGTCTGTGGCGATATTCAGTCAGTCATTCGTTGTTCCTTTGTAGCCATGCACCGGAACAGAAACCTTGAAATTCCAATGGTGTAGGCGTTAATGGATTTCCCGCGACTAATACTTAATTTCCTAGCATTTTTTTGCAAACTTTGTTGTTGTTGTGTGTGTGAGTTTATTTTTTATAAGTTTGATGACGTCGGCGTCGGCATAAATGACAACATGAATTACCACCAGAGGGCTGTTCACTGAATGTTCAACAGCTGTCATTGAGGCAATTGTTTATCGGGCGGCGGGTGTGTGTGTGTGTTCTTTTTTTATTTTTCTATAACGTGCAATATGTCACACTTGAGCTTTCAAAGCCGGCGTTAAGTTTTCTTGTGGTTGCTTTAGTTGGTTTTCTAATAACGTTTGAAAGGCCAGGTTTGCTGCAAGCAGGCGCTTAAAGACACCAACTACCTTCACCGTTTGTCGCAATGCGCCACAATCCCGCCGCAAAACCACAACATCGAGTGATTGACAAGCAGCGACTCGTAACTTGTACAACCAACTGATATATTCCGACATCATGAAAAAAAAAAAAAAAACAGAGAGGTGGGGAAAAAACCCCAACGCATAGACATACAGACATATGGAGAGGAACCAAGTTACCTGAAACAAAAACAGACATAATTTAAAAATTGTGCGGGTGTTGTTCAGGTTTTCAACTTCACTTTTTTTTCTTTGTTTTTGTTTTTTTCTTACAAACCTCCGATTTGGCAAAACAATCATCATGGCTTTAAGGATTCGATTGGAGTGCACACAGAACGAACACTCCTTATTTTTTTTCTCTGGTTTTGCGGTTTGATGTAGTTTTGTTCTTCTCAGGATGAAGAAAGAAAGAAAGGATGTATTTTTTCGTTGTTGTGGTACGTTTTTCTGGTCTGCTGCAAATTTTGTTCTGAAATTCACTTCTTTTTTGTTCCATCCCTTTTTGTGGGGGCCATGACTCACCAGATTTCTTCATTCATAGACTTTGGTTCTTCGCCGGCTAGCTGTTATGGTCTGAAATGTTGCCAAAAAACGTGGCTGTTGTTCCATGTCTGCCGGTCTCCGGTTTTTGCCAATGGTTCTTTGATCGGAAATCAAAAGTATTTCTACTTTTAGTTTCATTGCTGGAGTAAAAAAAAGAAAGAAAAAAATGTCATTGCAAAAGAAAATTGTGAAATTCATTTGGGCGTTTTTCACAGTCCCGACTGACACAAACAGTGCAATGGAGTAGGAGACAAAAGAAAAACGAAGGCGCCAGTTTGGAAATTTACGAAACTTGTATAAAACATAAAATGCAAATTGGAGAATCTAGAAAATGTAGGGCGACTATGTCCTACATTGGGCGCGATTTATAACCATCTTCTGATATGATAAATAGACAAGTAATGTTCATTCTTCTGATGGCTTAGGTCAGACTAATTTTGTGGTGTAGATAAAGTATCTACGATAGATAAATTCCATAAATACAGTATCTTCGTTCATTTTAATTTTACAGAAAAATATTTACGTTATATGCATGACATAAATAAAGTATCTACATCATCTTAATTTCACAGGAAAAGTATCTACGTCACATGCATGGCTTAAATAAAGTATCTACATCATTTTGATTTGAAAATTATGTACGTTGGGCGCCATTTATAATAATTTTCATATATATTTTCATATATAGATAAAGTATCTACGATACGCGAATTTTACAGATAAAATATCTTCTTCATTCCTATGACTTCCTTGAAGTATTCACTTAATTTTAATTCCATAGGTAAAGTATCTGTAATTTGGGGGCTTTATCATTTTGA